ATTTATTTTTAAACATGTCCTTATTAGTCATTTAATGTTAAACAACAACCGCTAACTATTGTATAGCCAAACAATTATATTTATCAAATCCGCTATTTACCATCCGCTATCCACTTTCCACTATCCGTCATCCGCTATCCATTAACCACCACTTGCTACTCGCTACTGCTATCCGTTATCTGCTAACTGCTATCCGTTATCTGCTATCTGCTATCCGTTATCTGCTACTTGCTATCCGCTATTCGCTGAATTTTAACCGCTATACCAAACAGGCCATTCATTTAATTAAAATTCAATTTAAAATTTAAAAATCTACTTTATTAAATGTTGATATATGAATTTGGAAACTAATTATATATTCTAATATAATCAACTTTCAAAACTATATATTAATACTTGATAAAATGGATTTCTGAATTTTAAATTGGGTTTTTAGTTTCCAAATATAGTAATCATCATTTAATAATGTAGATTTTTGAATTTTAAATTGGATTTTAATTAAATAAAATAATATGCTTTAAGGTCGAAACTTTAATTTTTTTTTTTTATGAGTCAAGACTAATAATACATATCAGTTTTGACGTCCAAAAAAAAAATTAAAATTTTAACTTTAAATGATGCTGTTTCGTTTAATTAAAATTCAATTTAAAATTTAAAAATCAACCTTATTAAATATTAAAACCTACATTTGGAAACCGAAAAACCAATTCAAAATTTAGCACCTTATTAAATGTTAATATATGGATTTGATCAAACATATTAGAATATATAATCAGTTTCTAAATGCAAGTATAAACATTTAATAAGATAGATTTTTTAGTCTTGATTTAGGTTTTAATTAAATGAAATTATGTCATTTAAGGTTGGAATTCTAATTTTTTTGAATTAAGAATAATATACACTTTTCTCTCATATATATATATATTAGTGGGTGTCAGTTTGTATTGCAAAAAAATTAGGCAGAAAAAAGCCTTCAAATTGCATTATTTAAAAAAGCACCATGAGAAAAAATTTATAAAAAAAACCTCATTACTACTTTGAAAACTAGGATGTTTTAATCTTTTTTAATGGAATTTTGTTAAAAAAATATAATTTTGAAATATTTGTCTATCTAATTATTTTACAATATAAGTTGATAATTACTTTTCATATATATATATATATATATATGTATGTATGGAAAAAAAATGCATGTCAATCTTGACTCATACAAAAAGAATTAGAGTCTCTACTTCAAAATCATTACCCTCCAATTAATACTTTTGAAATCTAGTCATTAGATTTAATATTCTATTAATGTGAATTATGCATATCAATTTTTAAATTGATATAATAGCTATAATCATTTGATTTAAAATTTTATATTTTTTAATATATATTTAATTATTATAAATTTTCTATAATCAATTAACTAGTTATATATATTTAATTAATTTAAAAATTGATATATATGATCTACATAAATAGAATACTAAATCTAATAGTTGGTTTTTGAAAATATTCATTATAAGGTAATGTTTTTAAAATTGTGACTCTAATTTTTTTTATAAAAATTAGGATTGATGTGCATCTCCGCCTTTATATATATCTATATGTATGTATTAAGTAGGCAATATTTTAATTTCATCATTAGTAATATTTTCGATAAGTTTATGAATCCACTTAATTCTTTAGTAATTTTTTACCTGTGTTTACCTATAAAATGGGTTCAACATTTACCTTTCAAGAGGAAGGAAATTTGATTGAATCTTGATGGTAAAAATAGTTAGTAATATATGAGTATCTATTTGAATCTCAAAATAAAATATTTCATTAATTATGGAGAAATTTCATTACAACTTACATAGAAGTTGCTCAACTACGCTAGAATTTGATAATATGGTGATCATATTCTAGTTGTATGCTTAATTTTGCAATGTAATGTCTCGAAACTGTAATGATGATGCTTTTTTTTTTTCATGCAAAGAAGATTCTAATGAAGAAGGACTTTATGAATTTGTATTTGAATAGTATTTTTGTTATATGTATAAATTGTATATGTGTAAGTATATATATTTACATATTTTATGAGGATTCTACTTATACATAAATCTTACTTATTACATTTACACAAAATCACAATCATTTATCTCTTTGCTTTTAATACTTAAAATTTATCATGATTTTTTTAGATAAAAAATTATTTTTAATATAAGTAAATAAACCTCAATAATTAAAAATGAAAAAATAAATAATTAAGATTTTATGAGGATTCCACTTATACATAGTATTTTGTTATATGTGTAAGTATATATATTTGTATATTTTATGAGAACTCCACTTATACATAAATTTTACATACTACACTTATACAAAATCTCAACCGTTTATCTCTTCACTTTTGATACTTAAGATTTATCATAATCTTTTAGATAAAAAAATTATCTTTAATAAAAGTAAATAAACTCAATCATTGAAAATGAAGAAATTAACAATTAAGATTTTATATAAATATAATAAATAAAACTTTTATATAAATAAATCATTTCTCATATATTTTATTATATGTACAAACTTATATTTGTGTTCTAACTTACCTATTTTGTTAAAAGAATGAACTCATGTATTTCTTTATCTATATATACAATATATGAAGTAAAGTATGAATTTGAAAATAAATTTAATTATACATCACCCCTAGAAATTGTTAGAAGGGACTTTCACTATTTGTGCAGAATTAGCTAAATAGCTGGAATCTTGATGGTTAAATGTAATTTTCAGTTCTTAAAATTTTAATTTTGAATATTTTAATCCCTAAAATAATTTTACACTTTTCATTTCCTAAATTATGAAAATACATTTTTTCCTTCCATCAATATAGTTCATTAAGTTTGTGCATAGATACACATTTTTAGTCTTTTAACTTATAATATATGACATTTTTAATCCATAAACTTATAAGCGTAGGAACTAAAATTATGCATGTATATATATATATATGGACAAATTTAATAGTCTAATTGATCAAAGGACTAAAAAGTATATTTCTCATAGTTTTGGGAAGGAAAAAGTGAAACTATTTTCTATGTACATTTATTAATAGCAACTAAATAATTTTAATATTCCAACTACACAATAAAATTGCAATTCCAATTTAATAATTTTAGAATATGGATTTTACATTAAAATTACAATTCCAATTGAAAAACATGAATCTCTTAACTTTTTTGATAGGGCTTAGTTGCCACACCATCAATAAATGAATGAGTATAATCCATGTCAGGATCCATGCACATGTCAAAAATGCCATATGCAAGAGATTAATAGAATGTTGATATCATGTGACATTAACAATTAAATATTGAGTAATTTTTCCAAACTAATTAGATTTCAAGATTATTTTGTCTCTATTTTTTGCTAGAGGGTGTTGATGCCCCACTTAAAATTTCAAATATATATTTGAAAAATTAAGTGTAGGTCACCAATGGTCAATGAGAAATTGGGAATTGGAAGTATGATTAAAAGTGAGAAAGGGCATATCTATATACCTCACAATTCATGTAAAACACAATTGCATACTTTAAATTTAGGGGTTTATTTCAACTTATAAATGTCTCTCTAAGTTAATGGCCTTCAATAAAATAAACCAAACATACATGGAAATAAATATGAGAATCGAGAGTTTTGGGTTTAATTGAAAGGAATCGGAATGCACATGTCAAATTGAACCAAACAAAAGCCGGGCAACTAAACTGTACAGGTTTGCAAACCTATAGATGTGTTTTAAGACAAATTGAAAATTAAGGACTTAATTGTGCAATTTTGAAAAGATAGATGCCAAATTAAGATTAAAAATGATTGACTCTTGATTGGAGACCATTGACTTTGGATTAAGATTAATTAAATTTAATTAATTAACATAAACTATACTTAAAATAATTAATTTTGATTAATTAAAATTAATTAATTAAAGTCAATTAAAAATAATTAAGATAATTAATTAAAACCAATTAAATTAAATTTCATTAATCTAATCAATCAACTTAATTAAGGCAATGGGTTGAGTCTTAAGCCCAAATTCATTTGCAGATCTTCCTTTTTAGCCCAAAAGGATTACTGGGGTGGCCCATTTCATTGATTTTTTTAGTTTTTTAGAATTAGCCCATCACAAAGGAAATTGGGCCTGGCCCAAAATAAAAAAACTACGGATCCAATAGAACAATCCGTATATTGAGTTCGCCGACCGCGGTGAGCCATTTCCAGATACATGTGCCGGCTGGAATTTTCCAGATTGCGTCGAGGCCCAACAATCGAGAAAAATCAAAGAAATATGCAGAAAAATCGAAAAAAACGCATTCATTCAATACAAACCTAAATGCATCCGTACACACTGAAGTATCTGAAATTTAACATGCATATTCAAGAATCAAGATTTTGCAATCCACAGTACATTCCAGCAAAAAAAATTCATCAACAAAATCATTCCAAATCCAAATCTTTCTCCAATCTAACTCACCTAGA